AGTCACTGAATGGATAAAAAAACAAGACCCATCTATATGCTGCCTACAAGAGACTCACTTTAAACCCAAAGACATACACATACTAAAAGTGAAGGAATGGAAAAAGATATTTCATGCAACTAATAGAAAAAAGCAGGAGTTTCAATACTTGTATCAGACAAAATAGACTTCAAAACAAAGAAAATCACAAGAGACAAAAAAGGACATTATATAATGATAAAGGGGTCAATCCAACAAGAAGATATAACCATTATAAATATCTATGCTCCCAACACAGGAGCACCCACCCACATATGTGAAACAAATACTAACTGAATTAAAAGGGAAATAGAATGCAATGCATTCATTCTAGGAGACTTCAACACTCCACTCACTCTGAAGGACAGATCAACCAGACAGAAAATAAGTAAGGACACAGAGGCACTGAACAACATATTTGAAACAGATGGACCTAACAGATATCTACAGAACTCTACACCCGAAAGCAACAGAATACACATTCTTCTCAAGTGCAAATGGAACATTTTCAAGAATAGATCATATACTAGGGCACAAAAAGAGCCTCAGTAAATTAAAAGATTGAAATTGTACTAACCAGTTTCTCAGACCAGAAAGGTATGAAACTAGAAATAAATTACGCAAAGAAAATAAAAAAGCCCACAAACACATGGAGGCTTCACGACATGCTCCTAAATAACCAACGGATCAATGACCAAATAAAAACAGAGATTAAGCAATAGAGACAAATGACAACAATAATTCAACACCGCAAAAATCTGTGGGACGCAGCCAAGGCCGTGCTAAGAGGAAAGTATATTGCAACACAGGCCTACCTCAGGAAAGAAGAACAATCCCATATAAGCAGTCTAAACTCACAATTAATGAAACTAGAAAAAGAAGAACAAATGAGACCCAAAGTCAGTAGAAAGAGAGACATAATAAAGATTAGAGAAGAAATAAATAAAATTGAGAGGAATAAAACAATAGAATCAATGAAAGCAAAAGCTGGTTCTTCAAGGAAATAAACAAAATAGATAAACCCCTACCCAGACTTATCAAGAAAAAAAGAGTCTACACTCATAAACAGAATCAGAAATGAGAAAGGAAAAAATCAGTATGGACACCACAGAAATACAAAGAATTATTAGAGAATACTATGAAAAATTATATGCTAACAAACTGGGTAACCTAGAAGAAATGGACAACTTTCTAGAAAAATACAACCTTCCAAGGCTGACCAAAGAAGAAACAGAAAATCTGAACAGACCGATTACCAGCAACAAAATTGAACTGGTAACCAAAAAACTACCTAAGAACAAAACTCCTGGACCAGATGGATTCACCACTGAATTTTATCAAACATTCGGTGAAGACCTAATATCCATCCTCCTTAAAGTCTTCCAAAAAATAGAAGAGGAGGGAATACTTCCAAACTCATTCTATGAGGCTAGCATCACTCTAATACCAAATCCAGGCAAGGACACCACAAAAAAAGAAAATTACAGACCAATATCCCTGATGAACAAAGATGCAAAAATACTCAACAAACTATTAGCAAACTGAATTCAAAAATACATCAAAAAGATTATCCATCATGATCAAGTAGGATTTATTTCAGGGAGGCAAGGATGGTACAACATTCGAAAATTGATCAACATCATCCACCACATCAACAAAATGAAGGACAAAAACCGCAAGATCATCTCCATAGATGCTGGAAAGCATTTGACAAAATTCAACATCCATTCATGATAAAAATTCTCAACAAAATGGATATAGAGGGCAACTACCTCAACATAATAAAGGCCATATATGACAAACCCACAGCCAACATTATGCTTAACAGCGAGAAGAAGTTTTTCCTATAAGATCAGGAACAAGACAAGGATGCCCACTTTCCCCACTTCTATTCAACACAGTACTGGAGGTCCTAGCCACGGCAATCAGACAACACAAAGAAATAAAAGGCATCCAGATTGGCAAGGAAAAAATTAAACTGTCCCTGTTTGCAGATGACATGATATTGTACATAAAAAACCCTAAAGAATCCAAAACTGCTTGATCTAATATCTGAATTCAGCAAACTTGCAGGATAGAAAATTAATACACAGAAATCTGTGGCATTCCTATATACTAACAATGAACTAGCAGAGAGAGAAATCAGGATAACAATTCCATTCACAATTGCATCAAAAAGAATAAAATACCTAGGAATAAACCTAACCAAGGAAGTGAAAGATCTATACTCTGAAAACTACAAGACACTCATGAGAGAAACTAAAGAAGGTACCAATAAAAGGAAACACATCCTGTGCTCATGGATAAGAAGAATTAATATTGTCAAAATGTCCACCCGGCCTAAAGCAATCTACAGATTCAATGCAATTCCTACCAAAATACCAATAGCATTCTTCAACAAGCTAGAGACAATCGTTTTAAAATTCATGTGGAACCACAAAAGACCTCAATTAGCCAAAGCAATCTTGAGAAGGAAGAATAAAGTGGGGGGGATTATGCTCCACAACTTAAAGCTCTACTACAAAGCCACAGTAATCAAGACAATTTGGTACTGGCACAAAAACAGACCCATAGACCAATGGAACAGACTAGAGAGCCCAGATATAAACCCAAGCATATATAGTCAATTAATATATGATAAAGGAGCCATGAACATACAATGGGGAAATGACAGCCTCTTCCACAGCTGGTGTTGGCAAAACTGGACAGCTACATGCAATAGAATGAAACTGGATTTTGTTAACCCCATTGACAAAAGTGAACTTGAAATGGATTAAAGACTTGAATGTGAGTCATGAAACCATAAAATTCTTAGAAGACAACATAGGCAGACATCTCCTGAATATGAGCATGAGCAACTTCTTCCTGAATACATCTCCTCGAGCAAGGGAAACAAAAGCAAAAATGAACTCATGGGACTACATCAAAATAAAAAGCTTCATCAACAGAACAAAAAGGCATCCTACAGTATGGGAGAATATATTTGTAAATGACATATCCGACAAGGGGTTAACATCCAAAATATATAAAGCACTTACATGCCTCAACACCCAAAAAGCAAATAACCAGATTAACAAATGGGCAGAGGATATGAAGAGTCAGTTCTCCAAAGAAGAAATTCAGATGGCCAACAGACACATGAAAAGATGCTCCACATCACTTACCATCAGGGAAATGCAAATCAAAACCACAATGAGATATCACCTCACACCAGTAAGGATGGCCAGCATCGAAAAGACGAAGAACAACAAATGCTAGCGAGGATGCGGAGAAAGGGGAACCCTCCTACACTGCTAGTGGGAATGTGAGCTAGTTCAACCATTGTGGAAAGCAATATGGAGGTTTCTCAAAAAACTAAAAATAGGAATACCATTTGACCCAGGCATCCCACTCCTTGGAATTTACCCAAAGAATACAACTTCTCAGATTCAAAAAGACATATGCACCCCTATGTTTATCGCAGCACTTTTTACAATAGCCAAGATATGGAAGCAACCTAAGTGTCCATCAGTAGATGAATGACTGAAGAAGATGTGGTACATATACACAGTCGAATACTATTCAGCCATAAGAAAGAAACAAATCCTACCATTTGCAACAACATGGATGGAGCTGAAGGACATTATGCTCAGTGAAATAAGCCAGGCAGAGAAAGACAAATGCCAAATTATTTCCCTCATTTGTGGAGTATAACAGTGAAGCAAAACTGAAGGAACAAAATGGCAGCAGACTCAGAGACTTCAAGAATGAACTAGTGGTTTTACCAAAGGGGAGGGGTGTGGGAGGACCGGTGGGGAGGGAGGGAGAAGGGGACTGAGGGGTATTATGTTTAGTACACACGGTGTGGGGGATCACAGGAGAACAGTGTAGCACAGAGAAGGCACATAGTGGATCTGTGGCATCTTGCTGCACTGATGGACAATGACTGCAATGGGGTATGGGTGGGGACTTGATAATATGGGTAACTGTAGTAACCACATTGTTCTTTCATGTGAAACCTTCATAAGAGTGTATACCAATCATACCTTACTAAAAAGTTTTTAAAAATAATTTTAAAAAGATTGAAGTGAATAAAAGTAAGAGGCAGTATAATTTGGTGCTTAAATGCTTGGTCTCTTCTGGTCCATCTGCCAGCCAAGCTCCAAGTTCTGGATATGTGACCATGGGCCATTTACTAATCTATTTGTGCCTCAGTATCTCCTCTGTATAATGGGTGTAATTAAAGGATTTGCTATCTCTACTGAGGGCTTGTAAGGATGGAAAGGATGGTAAAGTGCTGAGCACATTGCTTAATGCATAGTTAGCACTTAGCAAACACCAGCTATTATGATTCAAAGAGATTTCTCAAGAGTAGTTTCGGCTTTTTGCTTGTTTTTAAAAACATTTCCTGCCCTGACTTCAGTTTTGTTTTTTATTCTAGGTTCCATTTTTCGGGCGGAGAATGCATCACACGTGTCCATGTATGCCGGGCTTAGCCTGTTTGCGGACTTCGTTTAACCGGTTTAATTGTTTAGCCCGAAAGTAATCACTTTAGCGTAGAAAACTTTAAATGTGAGCAGCCACACGATGTCTGTAAAGTCTGTTTACTTGTGATTGTGCCAAACAAATACTATGCCAGAAAGAAATGCAATTGCTTCCTCCCCTTCCCAAGGAACATTTCTATCTTTGACTTTTAAATGATGCTTTTTTTAATTGAAAGAGGATTTTAATTTTGGATAGAAATGTCAAGTGGAAGGAATAATGGAGCCGGTTCTCATTTCCCTGTTTGTGTTTTGGTTTGGCTTTTTTTTTTCAATGCCAGTAATTCATCTATTTTCACAAAAATGAGTAGAATAAGAATCTGATACTTTGTTAGAAAAGTTTTTTTTCCCTTAATTCCCCTTCCCCCCAGCCGTGCCCCAACACACACACACACACACACACCTACCTACCCTTTCTTCTCTTATGTCTCAGTCCTCAAAGATTTCTAAGGCCCTTAATTCTTCCCCTGTTTTCCCTCCCTGACCCTCCAGCATTTTAAAGTAAGGGGTGTGGGGCAGGGTTCATATTTTCTAGCTCCCTGGCAGAATCACTGATAAGAATCAAGCATTGTCCCTGATACTTAAACAGTGAAAGAGTGTGTAGTTGAACTTGACCCAACAACATCTCTTACATTGAGTGACAATTGGGTGCTTCTGAAGTTTCATGGAACCTGTCTAAGTAGGTAGACTTCAGGTCTGCTGTTTGATGGGTGCGAGGAGAGAAGGAATAGAACATCAGGTTTCATCCACATTTCTAGATTTGGGGTTTTTTAAAAAAGACTTTTCCAATACGTATTACATTTATTTCTTTTTCTTTTTATAATATTTTTTTAAGTCTCATGGTTAGAGATGTTTCAGCGAATGTCACTTGAAGAAGAGGTATTGATTTTAATCTGGCATAACACTAGATACCTTTTGAAAATTGGTATTAATGGTATTAAGTTGTAAATTAAACCTGGTTTGTAACCCAAAAGTCTATTGTAATGGATTATTGCCTGGCATCCTGCCATTTGTACCTGCATCAGTATTGCTGCATAAAAATTCTGTATCAGAATAATGACAGTACTATATATCATTTGATTTATTTTAATATTATATCCTTATTTTTATCACAGTTGTCCTCAGTCTTTATTGCAAGCAGATTTCTATTAGCGCACATTCTAAAATGGGTGCCGACTCCCAAGTTGGTGAAATGGCATGAACGGTATGTGCATTTTCATTTTACATACAGGAAAGTTCTGTTTGCATGAGTTTCAAGGTATTGCAAGAAACGAAGCATGTGTTAATCAGTGAGGTCTGGGAGCATGAAAGAGAATGATGACTGGCCCAACGGATGGTGATCAGGAATGAACTCCCGGGGTGTCACCATATGATGAATTCAGCAAATAACGATGGAGTGTTTGTCATGGGTGGGCCATGCAGGGCGCTAGGTGCCAGCCACACAGTGATGCCCATGTAGCCTGGCCTTGGAAAGCCTACCAAATATTGTAAATGGATTCAATATCGCAAATAAACAACTTATGAAATGTGTTTAGCCTACTAAACTTGAGCATGCCAACGCACTAACCATTCCACAAAAAACTCCATTCTGTACGAATTTCTTCAGCGAGGGCTTACAATTGCCCTTTGTGTGTCAGCTTACCCCTGTGGCTAACATGTCCTGCACACATATGGGATTTTTACTGTACTAATTACCATACTTAGTCATAGTAGTATTTTTGGTTTAGTTTATTTTGTATTCAAGAAACATTCCCCAGTGAGTCTGTTGAAAAAAAAAAATTAAAGACTTCAGCAGGTGGGATTGTGGGTAAAGAAATAAGGCCCTTCAGCAGTTTTCCCAAATGTAGTTTCCATGTAATGTCTGTTACATCCTTTTTCATAAGCGGTGAAACCTTAATTGAGTTGATCACCCATTTTCACCCCACATAAAAAAAACATATAACCCACTTTATAAAACTGTGCTTGAACATACACTAACTCAAATATTTTTTAAAAATCACTACCTAAAGAGGCTGTCTATATATACATATCCAGGAGATAAAATGTGAAGTTTGGGTATGAAAGCTTAAGAATGTTATCTACTGACTCACAGCATTACCATCTGACAAAAAACAGAACTTTGTCATTTATTACCCCTCCCCTGGGTTATTAGTTTTGTTGAGGAATACTCCTCCCCTTTTTTCAGTGCACAGTTCTATTTGGTTACTGTTTTTTCACTTGTTACCAAAGTTAGCACCTTTCAAATAATTGTTTTGAAAACCTTGTAATCATGCTTCATGGAGGGTCTTCAAATTAGTTGTGTGCAAAGCATACAAAGTCTCGCTCTCTAAAGATCGTGATGCTGTTTCTTCCAGCCCCTAGGATGGTCTCTCCCTGAAGGTGGGACCTCATAGGCCAGAATTTTTATAAGGTAAGACAAAGTGAGAATTTACACATGAAAAATCAAGTCAGCAATCTACTCTGATGTCTATACTGTGAATGGGCTCCATCCATTCTAAGGTAGAAATCTTATGCCAGAAGCTACTAGACCAAAATCAAGTGGACCTTTGGATTTCTTTGTCAACACTGACTTTCGTGAGAACTGCCATGTCTGACTTCAACCATTTTTAAAAAGCAACATTTTTTTTGTTTTAAGCTGTGGGGAAGTTTGTGCCCAAACTATTTATTTCCTTACAAACCATCCTGTCACACTGAAGACCTGCACCCTTCCTAGCATTTCAATATAGTTCTCTTGCTGGACTTTGCTTACAAAGTCAGTCCAGCCATAGATCAAATACACAAACCAATTTTCTTTTTCATTGGTTTTAATGTAAGAAATCTCATCCCACTCTTTTCTTAGTTCATTTTTTAGAAGATTAAAGTTGGGGGTCCTTTTAATTTTAAAAAACAGGACACTTTTGGTATTCAGTGAGAATCATTGTCTAAAATTCACATTTTATGAGCTTCCTGTTTCAACATTTTGCTGTGTATTTCAGGCTATATCCTCAGAATCGGCATTTCTTTCATTCTCTGACATCGTCTCCCCAATTGTTAACCTTCAGCACTTCCCTCTGCATTAAAGAGAACTCTATTTCTTCTTGTATTTTTAGTGCAAGCCAAAGATGGAATCTTTAACATTGTCCTTAAGTAAACTTGATTACACCCCACTGTTGTAATCAAGTGAGGGGTAATAAAGTTGGGGTAACTCAGCAGTGACCTCAAAATCAGGGCGCTTTCAGAGTGACCCATTTCTTAAAATCAGAGGGGCCACTAATATGCTATTCCTGAAGTCCCACACCCTTTTTTTCCATCATCCCCCATTCTCAGAGATTCTGTTTGGATTTGTCTGGGGTGAGGCCTGGATATTAGGATTTCTTTTAAGCTATTCATTTAATTCTAGGGTGCACCGTGGCCGAGAGCCATTGAGAAAGAATGAAGAGCCCCCTTCCATAGAAATGCTGGTGTTTTCCTGTGACACCACTTTATGAGACCCCTGTCTAGTCACATTAGAAGCCGAGAGAGTGGCTGAAAGTCTTTCTTTTCTTGCCACCCTCAAAACTTCCTGTGATCCTGAAGCACATGTGAATCCATTTTCTTTCTCCACAGTGCTTCCAGAGGGAAGGTCATGGAAGGGGCCCACTTGAGCATCGTAGTGGCAGTTACCCAGCTCATTTGAGGCGCCCATTCAAAGTTCCCTAGAATTAGATTAGGGAAGCTGGCCTGGGTGCAGCCCAGCTGGCCCCAGGCTCTCCTGCTGGCCCCCTGCAGGCACAGAGCCACTGCTCCCTCAGTCATGGCCCCCCTGCCCCCCAGGGCACCCTCCCAGGTGACTCATCAGATGCTCCCTCTCTCCCAGCCCCACTGTCCCACCTGTCTCAGGATTTCATCTCTTTCACTAGGTCCATCCATCATCAACAGGCTTTACAAAGTCTAGTATTGCAGCAAATTGTAACTAAACTAACTCAGACCAGTAAGCAAACGAGAAAGCATGTGTGTCCCAAAAGATCAAAAGCAAGAAATTGGAACATGATCACGCAGGTGTAATTTCTGACGATAACGTGCGCAGGCTAACAGATACTCTGTACAGAAAAGAGTAGGCACCCTGGTGTCCACAGGGGACTGTGGTCATTGTGAAGCTGGGAGCGCCTGCCCATGAGCTGTGCAGCTAGGCAAAACCTTGGCCTGCTGCTTGGAGTAGCAGCTGTGCTGAGTCTATCCAGGGTTTCTCAGCCTTGACATTGCTGACTTTCTGGGCTCTTACTTTTTGCTGTTGGGGGCTGTCCCGTGTTATTATATCATGGTTAGCAGCACCTTGGGCTCTACCACTAGATGGCAGTGGTTCTCTTGAATTGGGGCCCCCCCAAAATGTCTTTAGACATTACCAGATGTCCCCTGGGGGTGTGAAAAGGGGTAAACTATCCCCCAGTGGGAACCACTGGTTTAGTCTGAAGGTATTTTGTGTCTGCATGTGTATAATTTTGTTTCAGTATCAAAAAAAAATTTGAAATGACAGTATTAAATAAAGTTGAACCTCTGAATGGGGCTTTGCAAAACAGGCATCCTTTTAAAAAAAAGGACTATCATTTTGCATTCAAAACAGTGGGAATGTATAATTGGTACCCTTTAATAGTTACAGAAATATCAGTTATATGTCAGCTCTGTAGTTTACTGTGTTTCAAGGAAGAAATTTTTATATTAAGTCACTCTTTAAAGCTTAAGGCAAAGAGCTCAGATAAAATACCTTTAATCATAGATGAAGATTTCACATCTCTAGAGTGTACTTCTATGTAAATTTTCACATTGCTGAAATCCAGATTTTCATCATCTTGAGTAAAATATGATATCATTTATGATAAATGCTTGTGTTGCAGAAACTCAAAAGCTTTCTGAGGAAAATTGTAAAAAATGTGTTTTATTAGGTTAGATTCAAATCACCATTGAGAAGATTCAGAAATTGCATTTTCTCAGCAAGACTGGGAACAGACTTGTTCCCTACAGACAAGACTAAGGCCAGCATGAGTTAATGTGGATCACCCGTGAAAATAAGCAAGAAAACTATTTATTATGGACATTTTTGAACATAAGCAAAAGTCATGAAAACTATGTAAAGAAGCCTCATATATCCATTATCCAGTATCTTACCACCAGTTAATCATATGGATTTCAGACCTGCTCCAGCTCTACCCCCCTTCACTCTGCCCCCAGACCTCCCACTCTCCTGTCTTGTCCTGCAGCAAATCCATTTGGTTCCCTATTGATTGACAGAGTGGACTGTGGGAGAAAGACAGCCATAGTCTGGTGTGTTAGCAGTAACATCAATCCTTATTCTTTTAATAATGGCTCTCTGCTTTGATATTGCCAAGGTCCCTTCACTCCTAAACATTTCTCTTGAGAAGGACTTTCAGGATCCCAAACTGGAGCTGAAAATGGAAAAGCAAAATACTTCAGGCCCTGAATATGCTTGTATGAATGAATATTCGCTCCTGTGAGAAAATTTTCAAAGAATATATTAGTAGCTCAAAGTAAGAGACGTACAGAAGGATATTCTAATTATGGTGCTGGGATTGGCTTATGGGGAGTTAAATATTGTCTACAACTGTTAGTCCTTCAGACAGCAAATGTTAATATTTTCTCTTAATTTTCCTGTGTTCAGTTAGGATGGGGGGATAATCCCTGGGTGGAAGACATGGCTGGTAGACTCCAATCTTCTTCTACAGTTCATTATTTTGTTCTTATATGGCATGGGCTTGCTCACTCGCTCTCTCTCCCTCCCCTGACCCCAAGTAGTATTAGGTGGATACAGGCACCCTTACCTAGAGACTGCATTCACCTTGGCTAGGTGTGCCCATCCGACTAAGTTCTTAGCAATGGAATGTAAGCAGAAGTGGTCAGCCTCACTTACTTAAGAAACAGTTGCACTCTACGTCCTTGCAGTGGGGAGAAGGGACAATGAATCTGGCTACTTAGGAGCCATGGAGGGAAGGCTCTTGGAGAAGAGAACAGAGCTGACCCAGCAGCGGGGCTTGCTGACGACCTCCTGACGTAGTCACCCAGAACTCCAGAGAAACAATGAAACCATTCTCATTTGGGATTGTCATTAAAACACTTCCACCACTACCCAAGCCAATACAGATGGAATCGTTCTTGGAAAGCGCATCCTTTTGTTATCCTCTATACTTCATTTTGTGATCTTAAAAAATACTTTTTGTGTCCTTGTTTAGTGGTTGCCCTGCCGAGGGTGGAATCAACCTCCCATCCAAAATTGGTTTGCTTGTGAGGACTGAGGATGCCACACACGCCCAGAGGATGTGACCAGACTTATTATCCACATTATGGGATTTTCCTGGCGAGAATAGAGCAGGTGCAAGCAGCAATAGCAAGACAGTCTGGTCGGTTTTAGTGTCTACTGTGGCCAGCAGGCAAGGCCGGGATGAAATGCCAGCTGCTGCCGATGGCTAGCCTAGCTGCGGGGCAGGAAGCAGAGGGGAATGTGTGGCCAGCGCTCAAACATCAAAGATGGAGTTTTCCTC